TGGAGGGGAGTCAGGTCCAGGAAGGGGGTGAGTAACTGGATCCTGTGCTGCTGTTTTTCAGGAAGACCAAAATGCTACTCACCTCACCTCAGAATCCTTCCCCTCACAGTGGTTGCCTTGGTCTTCTTTGGGTAAGAATCCAGGCTGGTGAGGAACAGCTCCTGAGACCCTGATGGGGACCCTGAGCCGTGGGCATCCCCACTACCACGGCAGTGATGAGGGTGCTCTTGGCCACTCACACAGTGGCCTGTCCAGCTTTTGCTTGTCCCTATAGGCCAGGCTTGGTTGCAAGACAGATGTATCCCTCTTATTCCACATATGGGGCTGGGTGCCCAGGCATTTGGTCCTTGCTGTGAGGGTGGACCTGGAGAAGGAGAGGAAGGCAGGCCTGGCGCCTGGACTGCAGCCCTCTCTAGATGCAGACAGTCTGTGAACACTCACAGAGTAAAGATACTGCCATGTCTACTGAGGCTTCTGCAGACACAGCCAGGCAGTAGTCCCTGATGCGGTCTTGGGGCTGTCTGCAGCTGCTTCAGGTGTCCAGATGCAGGCCTTGTCCCCAGGGCCCTTCTTGCCACCTCTTCTTCCAGCAGGGTGAGCTTGCTTAGTCCTGTCACCTGGCCCTGCCTTCCCACTGGGAACACCTGTGCTCACTGTATACAGTGGTGCATTTTGGAGGGAGGGACAGACAGCCCGTCTCAGGTCCGTGTCCTAAATGAAGAATTGCCACTGTGCATGTTCTTCCCACAGCTATGGGTTCCTGAGCTACAGAAGCCAGGAATTGGGAGACCCAGGACTTGTGACTAGGTGAGTAGTGGGTATTGTGTGTGTGTGTGTGTGTGTGTGTGTGTGTGTGTGTGTGTGTGTGTGTGTGATGTTTGTGTGTGTTGTTTTTTGTGTGTTAAATGTGTGTGTATCATATGTGTGTATGTCTGTGTGTGGGGGATGAGTTGCTGGCTGGATGAACATTCTGTTATTTTGTTTCATGATGCCTTGTGGCCTCTGCCTGTACCTCTACATGGGTGGGTCTAGTCCTACCCTAGGCTACACAGAGAAACCTCAGCTGCTGCCTGTTGTCTCTAAAGGGTCTGTGTTGTCCAGGAACACTGTTGTCTTCTCTGGCTTCAGCCTCATCCTTCCTTCTGTACCTGCTTGGGTAGCCCCAAGAACAGTTCCTGTTCCCCACCCACCTCCCCAGCAGCCTACTGAGTGCTAGGTTTTTTGTCTTCTACCCGGAGATCAAGTTGGAGGTCCCTCCATCCCCACAGTCCCAGATCCTGTCAGTCTGACTTTTGGGGAGGCATCTCTTGGCTTTGCTCTGCTTTCCTGGACCTGCTGCGGCCTTGCATCAGCCACACGCCTGTTCATCTGTCTCAGCCCTGTTTTCCTTACAGTAGCTAATGATCCTTCAGCACAGAAGGTAGTGTGCTTTCTGAAATCAGATCCTGCCTGCTGACCCTCCCCAGCAGCCTGCTCCTCCGCATTCCTGCACAGCCATGCATGCCCTTGAGTGGGGCTGACCTTGATCTTTGTCTATGCTGTGCTTCCCACTAGGCTACACTGCCCCCACCTGCTCTTCTTTCCCACCAGTTCCCTCTTGTGTCCGTTTTCCACAGCTGCAGAGCACTCTGTCCCCCCCTCATTGTGTTGGGAGGCAGTCACACCTTTGATGACTCTCTCCAGAACTCCCTGGGGTTGCTGTGCAGAGCTTGGTGGGTCTCCCTTGAGGTCTCTCACATTTCTGGTGGTTGAGGGTGGCCCCCAGCTGAAGTGCCCGTCCCTGGGGCTTATAACAGAAGTGGCTCTTGTCCCTTGGGGCCTGACCTTTTGAGGGAACTTCACACTGATGTTGGGGCTGTTCAATGACCGAGACAGAGAGCCAGGACTCTGTGTGCCACCAGCTAAGGAGAGGACCAAGGCAGGCTGCAGGCCCAGTTCGGATGGTCAGCATCTACCAGGGACAGAAGACATGTTCAGTCTCATTCGGCTTGTGAATTAAAGTAGTCTCATCTGACTTGTGAATTAAAGTAGTCCTTAGATTTCCCAGCCCTAAGTAAGGGGAGGGGTATCATGATTCCCTCTCCTTACCTTATGTCAAGTGAGACTGTTATCTCCTGCTTCGGTCCATCCTCTGCTCCCAGGGTCATGGACGTACACAGTGGCTTGGTTGCCACTGCTCATGCAAGTCTGTTTGCCTGGTGCAGAGCTCCCAGTGACATGCATTCCAGGGACCTTCCTGTCACCTTGAGTTCTGGTGTCTTTTTGCAGGATGGCCTATGCCCAGCCACAGGTGCTAACACCCAGGTAAGTAGATTTGGTCAGTGCATGGGAAGTGCCGTAAAGGCACTGAAGGAGGATTTGCTTGCAGTGGGGACAGTTCAGCAGCATACCTGAGAGCTGGGCCGGTCTCCAGCACTGGAGAAACCAAACCCAGAAAAAACCAAAGACCTGATTATGATTCTCGTTGCCCTCACTTCACAACCCTGTCAGAGTCCGAGGGTTGTCTGACTCAGGTCTGGAGCCCGGAGCATCTCCTGTCTGTCATTTCCCATCTGGGATCTGCTCCTTGTTTCCTGTCTCTGTCATCAGCTTTCAGAGATGTGGTGGCTGCAGTGGCTGTAATAACTCAGTTGTTTTAATGCTTGGTGGAGTGGGGTGGGCGTAGTCCGTGAGAGCTGCTGCTGATTGGCCAGGCCCCACTGGGGAGGGTGGGTAGCCCTGGGGCAGCTGAGGGTGTGGAATCTGAGAAGGGCTCCTGCAGGTGTGTTTGGTCACTTGTTGACTGTGGCTTTGTCCCCATGTAGTAGGAAAGATGTTCTTGTCCTGACCCCTTGGCTGGCTCCCATCATCTGGGAGGGGACCTTCAACATCCACATACTGAATGAGCAGTTCAGGCTTCGCAACACCACAATTGGACTGACGGTGTTTGCCATCAAAAAGTAAGCAGTGGGTGCTGGAGAGATGGCTAGTGGGTAAAGCACTTGCTTCAGGAGCATGAAGACCTGAGTTTGATCCCTAACATCCATGTAAAGGCTGTGCATGGTGGCATGCCCCTGTCATCCCAGCACTGTGGGTGGAGGGGAGAGACAGGTTAATCTAGGCGGCTTGCTGGACAGCTTAGCCAAACAGTGAGTTTCAGAGTTAGCAAAGGGACCCTGTTGAAAGAACAAAAAAGATGAATAATACAAGAAGACATCCAATGTCAGCTTCTAGCCTCCACACAGTTACACAGGCAAGTGTATATGTACAATGGGCATGCACACCAGGGCTACAACGGGTTCTCTACCACCCTAAGGAGGGAATGTAGGGACAGGAGATACAAAGGAAAACACACCAAGTCTAGATTCTGATCAAGGTGCCACTTTATTTCCTTCCACAAAGGTTTATATAGTTCCGCAGGGTGGGGGAAGCAAAAAGCTGTCATCTTCATAAGGTGGGGCAAGCTAACAGGATGTCTGTATAGGATATTTACAGGGTGAGAGGGTCAAGGGCTCTGACTCAATGTCCTGTTGCTAGGCAACCTGACTGTAAGTTGATCTAGTTCCCTGTCTTATCGGGGTCTGTATTTTTCCAGTAACTAGAGATTCTGTCCTTGCCCCTGACACACACACATGCACATATGTGCATACACAATGGTCAAGGAGGCCAAGCATACCTTAAAGCAAGCTCATGCTTGTATTTAGGATGCAACGGGGGTGGGGTTTGTTCGCTTTCCCAACATCCAGAGCTCTGGTGGGCTTCCAGATGAATGAACCCAACCCTACCTCCGTTCAGAGCCCCAGGCCAACTGCCTCCCCACCTCTGTGCTCTCAGGCAGATGCCATTTGTGTCTCTCCGCACACACTTCAGGTGTGGATCCCCATCCTCAGGGCTGGCAAGAAGGAGTAGGATGCCAACAGAGCCGTGACCATTGACGTGTCCTCACATGCAGAAAGGGTTGGGTGAAACCTTAAACCTGGGTGTAGGGATTAGTCCTGAGTCTCTGGGTCAGGCTGACTTTAGGCCACAGGTAAGCAACTTGCCCTGTGGAAGGCTGTGGGGAGCAGGACAGGGTGGCATTACAGTGTGGAAGGCTGTGGGGAGCAGGACAGGATGGTATTACAGTGTGGAAGTCTGTGGGGGGCTGAGAGATGCCATTTGTGCTGTCTGCCTATGAGAAGGGGCTTTGTCCTTCCCTGCAGCTCTGGGTGAGATCCAAGGATAGCTCTGAGGCCTTTGTACCAATCAGACTTGAGAGAGGTTTGGGGCTCAGCTGGAGGGATCTCAGGCACCTTGAGAATGCCTGCAGCTCCTGTGGACAAAGGGCTTCACAGTAACAGGACACAAACACTACTTTGTCTGGGTGCTGCTGGGTACATGAGCAAGAGCCCTGCCAGATGTGGGTAGGTGCTCTGTCTGTGGGAAGAAGGCCTCTGAGGGAACTAGGTGAGATACCCATGGGAAAACAGCCTGTTTCTGACATTGAGGTGGAGAGGGCTTGGCACACTTGCCAGGTGATGGGCATCCCTGTTCCCATGGTGGGGACACATGGCCCTGGGGGTCATCAAGGGAGAAGCAGCCATCTGAAGCAGGTAAAAACTTCTTGGAGTGGGAGATGACATAGAACCTGGGGTAGAAGCCTTTTGCTCTGGGACATGAGGGTTTGACTTAAGGTTGCCCTTCTTTCTAGGGTACCTGTCTCCCTTTCCCTGTCTGCTCTGTGAGACTGATTCTTGCTCTGGTGGAGTTCATGGGGTATGACTTAAGGATATGGGGGAGTAACTCAGTGCCTTGTCCACAGCACCTATAAGTTTCTGATGAGGAAGGTCTGGGTTTGGAGACCCTTTCCTGAGACAAGGCCCTGGAGAGTGCGACAAGGAGGGGTGCAGGTCCCAGGCCTTTACAGATCCGTGTAGTTCCACCAGGGTTTAGAAAGTGGGCCCTATGAACACAGGCTCTCCTTAGGCCAGTGCAAGTGTGTGGTGTGTAATATGTCTTGGGATGGAGCTGTCATTATTGGGGGGATGGTGACAGACATATGGAGAGGTGGCCTGCTGAGGGGACTACCAAGACAAGAGATACCTGCAGGGTATCTGCCTGGATCTCCAGGTCTGGAGTCAGCCCTGCTGCCTGGCTGAAACCTTCCAGGTCTCTACCTCAGCGTTCCTTGCTAAGATGTGGTGCTGATGTTGCACCCTTCTGCAGCAAAGGAGGGTGAGGTGAGGTACAGCCTGCAGACTGGTCAGCACAGCCGTGCAGTGGGGATGCTGCCGCTTCAAGCCTCCAGGTAGCCATGGATTCTGCAGCCCGGGCCTGCCCTGGCAAGTCTTGACCTAGCTGCACTAAGGCTCTCCATACCCCTTTGTCCTCCCTCACAGGTATGTGGTGTTCCTGAAGCTGTTCCTGGAGACGGCAGAGCAGCACTTCATGGTGGGACACAAGGTCACCTACTATGTCTTCACTGACCATCCAGCTGACGTGCCGCAGGTGCCCCTGGGTGCAGGACGGAAGCTGGTGGTACTAACTGTGCGCAACTACACCCGCTGGCAGGATGTGTCCATGCACAGGATGGAGATGATCAGCCACTTCTCAGAGCGACGCTTTCTGCATGAGGTGGATTACTTGGTGTGTGCAGATGTGGACATGAAGTTCAGTGACCACGTGGGTGTGGAGATTCTCTCAACACTCTTTGGTACCCTGCATCCTGGCTTCTACAGGAGCAGCCGAGAGGCCTTTACCTATGAGCGGAGACCACAGTCCCAGGCCTACATCCCCTGGGATAAGGGTGACTTTTACTACATGGGAGCCTTCTTTGGGGGGTCAGTGTTGGAGGTGTACCATCTCACCAAGGCCTGTCATGAGGCTATGGTGCAGGACAAGGCCAATGGCATTGAGGCTGTGTGGCATGATGAGAGCCATCTGAACAAGTACCTGCTATACCACAAGCCTACAAAGGTGCTGTCCCCAGAGTACATGTGGGACCAGCAGATGCTGGGCTGGCCCTCCATCATGAAGAAGCTGAGATATGTAGCTGTGCCCAAGAACCATCAGGAAATCAGGAACTGATAGCTGAAATCCTATTGGAGAGGCCAGACCTATTCCCTTGTGGACCAGGCTTGCCTGGAACTTGCAGACATCTGCCTACCTGTGCTTCCCAAATGCTGAGGTTAAAGGTTTGTGCTACCACCCACTGGCCAGAACATGGTTTTTGTGCTCGGTGCTACACTGGGATCTCCAACACCCAGTGTAGTCACAGGCCAACTAATAAAGACTTCCTATTGGCTTAAATCCGTGTCTGGCCAGTCTTCATTGGTGAATGCCCCACAACAGCTGGCCTGGAATTTGCTACTAGACCAGGATGGCCTGAAACCCATGGAGACCAACACCCCACCCCACCCCACCCCACCCCGGTTTTGCCTGTCAACACACTTGGGAAGAATTTTTTTCCTTCTATTAAAGGTGGATAAACTGCCAATGGCCAATATTCCACAACCCCCCCCCCCCATCTTGACACCCCATATATGTGCTGTCTGACAAGGCTTGGACACTCCTGAGACAACTTCCTATCACACTGGTCCCTTTCTCAGCAATTATAATTTAGCCAGTCACATCAATTCCGAGGTCTGGCTTCCACCAATGAGATAAGGCCAAGGGATGACCTGTGTTATCAGAAAAACAAGTGAACTTCCTGCCCCATGTGCTTGCTCACTCTATGTGGCGAAACACTCTTTTGCAAAAAGAAACTGCCTTGATAGGTTGATTTTTATTCAGTGTGTGTTTGTGAGACAGAATATTCTCCAACAACATTCAAAATAGAGTATAGTGTCTGACCATCTCTTTTATGGTTGGTAGATTTCCTGAATTCTGGGCACTTTCTGAAGGATCTACAAAATGATAAGATACAGGGTATAGACAGAGTTCCTTGAGAGCAGGAGAGTCGTTTAACCTCAGAGATTATGGTAGTTAAGAAAGGGGGATGGGGATTGGTGTGTGAGGGGTTCGGACAAGGCTGGAGACTTAGAGGGTCCCCATAGCCTTCTAGGAGCTTCCCTGTGTCCTCTTCAACACCTCATGTCTTCATTCCCACTCAGGGTTGGGACATTTGGTGCTGGAAGCTGAGAGCTGTATGGTATGGTGGCAGGGCTGGCCACAGGGGCAGTGCAGCTGGCAAGCATAGCCTGTCTGGAAGTCAGTGTTCCTGCAGCAAGAAGGGTTAAATAAGACATGAAATGGTGCAAAGGCTTATGATGGAAGTTTTTAAAAGTTCAGAGAGTCTAAGAGCTACACAGAAGGGTTTGTAGAAGTCAGAAGGGAAAGCAGAGATATGTTTATTGTAAAAGCCATCCAGACTTTCATATGAATTTAAAATCTCAGTATTATAATGAAGAAAAACTCATCCTGTCATGTGCAGGACACATCAACAATTACTACTCTTTTGCCACGTTCAATGAAAATCACCGGGCTGTATCGGAAGACCCTCACAACCATTCTCCAGAGTGACATAATTCTAGCTAGAGTTTTCCTGCTTTGCCCACAGTCAGGACAAATCTTTGTC